TTCCTCAGAGCTTTGCTTCAGCACTTCCAGATGACTCTCAGGTCAACTCCCGAGAGCTAAAAGCCTCTCTGTGCTTCCCAAAACTCATCCTCGGACTTGCAAACCAAAACATGTCAAGTCAAAGCACCTTCATGTCACGCAAACATGCTCATGCCAAAACAAAACATGTTCTTGCCATGTCACAGCACTCATGTCCTACACATGTACCTGCAAGCAACAAGGCAAACAAAGAAATGTCATATTTTCACACCCCCTCATGCCTATTGCGCGGTCAGTCCTTCTTTCGTCTTTCGAGACTTTTCCTGGCTTCTTTCACCAGGAATCGGCCTAAGCCCTGCGGATAGACACCTGTCGCTGCTATGCTAGTAGCACTCGCATGCTCGTGGTTTCCTGGGCAAACACAAGAGGATAAAGTCCAGATAAAACTTGAATCCGAACTGACGAACCACCAATGCTTCAGGATACGGTTGCCAGCTTCCTCGAAACAGCACCGGTCTACCAAACACTCGTGCTCGAGTCCCAGTCTTTTCGCTGTTGACTTGTAGACTGTTTCTCCCCAAAGGCCAGACCCTTTCGGCCATTCGTGGGAGAGGAGGAGCCTCTCGTGGCCAGCATAGTCCTGGAAAACTGCTCGTATGCGTCTCCAGGACTTCTTGTGTACCTCCAGACTAGCTCTCCATCTCGCCCGGTTCTTCACGTCCTTTGAGAAACGCAGGTGCCTAAGGCCACTACCTGCGCTGCACGGCGTAGACAAATGTGCATACACGTAGATTCTTTCGTTAGAAGCCATCTTTTCCAGAATCCCTTTTAGCAACAAAGAAGCCTCTCTACTCAGCAAGTCTAGCTTCTTGGTGATTCCAAAGTACGCGATGTCACGTTCCCGCTTACAAGCTTGGGCTATCGCGCTTTCCTCTTCGCAACAGAGTTCCAAGACAACCATGGTGGCCTCCCCAGAAGCAACTCTGTAGGCCTCGTCCTTCCACGAGCTCGGAATTGCGAGCACTTCGTCGCAGGTATTGGGCTCTTTAAAGGTAACCGAAACGCTAGTGCCTGAAGCTTTTTCTTCCCAGCCAACCGGCTCGGTGGTCAAGCCACAAGCCTCACACAAGCTTGCCAAACTGTCATTCGTGGGACTTTTCGTTAGAGCATCTGCGGGGTTGATGGCCCCCGGTATGTGCTCAATCGTGAACCTTCCACGATCCACAAGTTCCTGGAGAAATGCGGCTCTTAACTCTATATGGCGAACTTTCCTCAGCAATGTTCCCATTTTTGAGATACAAACCGCGCTTTCAGAGTCAGAGTAACCCTTCAAGAGATAGTAACCGGTCTCCCTGTCCTGCGGAATGCCTTCCAAGATGGTCTCTGTCAAGAGGGCAATGTAGAGACCTTCCCTGGCTATCTCCGTGAGCGCCGCGAGCTCACTCTCAGCGCTGGACAGGGCTGTGGTTGATTGCTTTCTGCTAAAAGTCTTCAGACAGCAGTTTTCCCAAGTAATCACACCACCACTAACCGAATTCAAACTCCAGCTTGCGTCTGTAAAACAGGAAACCGCCTGAGGATCCGCATCATCTTCCAGGATCTCCCGAGTTGATGGAAACACCTGTACTCGGTGCGGAAGCCCTTTTATCCACTTTAGGACGTCTCTCATGCATGTTTCAGCAGCCTCGTCTGGCGCCGCCTGGTGCCGGCCCAAAAACCCGCAACAGAATTGCAGGTCCGGTCGGGAGAGGGCTGCCCATGCAAGCCGACCAAGGGTTCTACGATACTTTTCGTGTGCGGCCGGGCTAATCTTTTCAGTTTGCCCTTTTCGAACCAGGTCGGAGTATCGCTTTTCAAGCGACGGGAGTTTGGGGCTCGGTTTGGTTATATTGTACTCAGAGCAGCACGCGTCTAGGTACTTGCTATCTAGCCCGAAATAGACGCGCTTGTCTCCGGAACGTCGGAATATTCTCCTACCCAAGAAGGAAACTTCCCCCGCACCATTCTCAGGAAGCTCTCCAGTCAGTTTCAGCTTGTAGCGTTTCTGCAGTCCTTCGAAAACTCTCTTACCTTCCGATGGGTCCTCGGAGTAGATCAGCAAATCGTCTACATAGAACAGTACCAACGTCAGACCCTTCGACGTCTTCCTTCGGTATATCGTAGGGTCCAGGCTTGGACTGAATCCGCTCTTCTCCAAGTACGAACTCAGTTCCTTATACCAAGAAAGCGGTGCCGATCTCAATCCGTTCATCGCTTTATGAAGACGAAGATACACCTTCTTGTTTCCTGCCTTTTGGGGAACAGAAGAGTCCGCAATACTCACATTGTTTGGGAGCTCTACGTACTCTGGCCTTGACACTGCAGCGTGCATGAAAGCCACGCTCACGTCACAGCTCAACACTGAGCCTTTCTTGCAAAGCAATGCCAAAAGAAGCCTTAAACCCTCTAAACTCGTAGTCGGGCTGTAGATGCCTTCTGAAAGCGTCGTGCCTCCCATTGAAGCGTAATCTCTAACAACGAGGCGGGAACGGTAAAGACCTTTACGTTTGATCGTGTTAACCCACCTGCTCGTGAGAACCCTCCGACCGCTCTCTCGCGCCGACTTGCGGGCCTCAGCTTCAGAGATCACTTTTCCTACTCCAAAAGACTCGAGTTCCTCAAGCTCCAACTTCATCGAAGCATACAGAAGTTCAGGGTCTAACTGTTCACCTGAGGTCTCAGAAACGGCGTTTCGGGGTACTTGGCACTTGATCTTACTCCCTCCGAATTTGAGAGTAAACGAATCAGCTACTTCTTTAGACGTGGCCAGAATGTCCGGTCCTTTGAACAAAGACTCTAACAGATGGTTAGTTAGCCAGTCAATTTCCATGTCCTCTAGGTCATCCGGCTGCATTTCCGGTGACCCAAGTCCGCCTTCCCCCTCATCATCTGTGGGTTCCACGTAAGACGGAATATCATTCAGAGGATCAGGATCATCTGGTACCATCTCTTCATCTTCGTTTTCAAACCCCGGGTCAGGGTCTTCTGACTTCACCGGATCAGGTGGTGGCTCAAACATGATGGGCCTTTCAGGATCCGCTGGGTCTAGAACCAGAGGCTGTGAAGTAGACAGAGCGTGTATGGCCTCTACGTCGTAGACAGGCTCACCTTTCGCTCCTTCTAAGGCCCTACAGACAGGAAAGATATCGATCTCAGTCTGACCCACTGGAGCAGCAAAGACACCGCCCCCTCTGGGCTCTTTAGGCCCTAGATACACAGCTTTCACTGTTTTCTTTCCCCTGTACTTCTGTTGATGCGCTTTTGAGCCCCCTACTTTAGCGTAGACAAGACATCCAAACGGCAGGGTCCTCGTACGATGCACAATCTCCTCGTGCAGCCGATCAATGGGCGTAGTCACGTCCTGGTGGTTGTAGCACCTGGCACTGTAAAGGACACAAGCTTGCCAGAGCATTCCTCCCAGCGGAAGCTTCTTGTTCCAGTCTTCCGGCGCGGAATTCCGCGCAACTTCTCTCTCCAAGTCTAACCACACTGCCCAAAATCCCTGCTTCATAGTTTCTACTTGTCTTTCAATAGCGCCTTTTGACTGAGGGCGATACCCGGGCACGACGTCCACAATGACGCCAGAAACAGCTACATCACCTGTACGGGTAGTCAATTTTTCGGCTAAAGACATCAAAGCCGACTCCTGATCACATCTCACTGTGACCATTTTATTCACAAGACCCATTTCGCGAATCACTCGTCCAATGTTGTAAAACAGATCCGGATCATCCAAATTCATGGCCGGGATGACCGTGGTATAGTTCGAAGAGCAATGTGCAAGAAGCAGCACACGAAGACGACCGAAGTAGTAGAAATCCATTCCTATCGTCTGGTCCTCGCGTTGCAAACGCCTTCGCAAGCGTCTCGCAGGAACCTTCCCTTTACTCGAGGTGCAGGCCTCACAGTTCACATCATAAGGAAAATGACCTCTGGATCTATGCACTTGCAAAGCCACACTTCGCAGAGGTATCCTATCTGAAACTTCTGCACCTCCAGCCGGCTCCGGGGGTTTAGGTGGTTCAGCACCTTGAGGCTTCGGAAGCGGACTCTCTTTTTCTCCTCTCTCTTCTCTCTCTGAAGAACGTGGTATGTCACTATCGAGTTCTAAGGGCTCAGCTTGCGTCCCCTTACCGGGGAGGGGCAGTCCACGCACAACTCTCAAGTGGCTGTGCTCAGAAGTGGATCTGCTCCCTTTTCATCATCGCCCTTTCTTCTCAACAAACAACAACCACACACACTCCAAGCACAACACCATGCCATGCACACCAACAAGCTCCACAAGTTCCTGTCGAGACAAAGGCCCAAGCACATGGCCTTACATGCGAACTTCAAAGAGGCTTTAAAACCTGAGCTCCAAGTTGGTTTCACAACGTGCCTGCTAAAGACCAGAGTACGTTCTACATCAACTCGAACATAACAGAAACGAGTCTTGATTCGCACTCGGACTCCTTTACGACGATGGTGTAAACGGTACTTTCGGGATACAAGTTGAGGGTAGTCACCAACTCCTCGAAACCTTTTCAAACACATCTTCAAGAATCGAAACCCTAACCAGAACGAACCCCCCAAGAGACTTGCTATCACATAGATCGCCAAGCAAGCGAAAACATCCAATGCTTCTCCTGGCATGCAAAACAAAGCACTCCTGGCCGGCAGGGGTCTGTCATGACTCATGTTCAGGAGGTTTGGGTTCGTGGCGTTTCTGAGGTTCACACTTGAGGGTATTTCGGATCTTTGAGGGTACTGCTTAGAAGATCGAAGTTCTTTTGGGCTTCTCTTCAAGGGACCTTCAAGCTCGCACACTCCTAACCAAGCAAGTCTCACACAGCAACATGTCTGTTCAACTGCTTCACTCATGCTTCTTTCCAAGTCCAAACAAGCCTGAAAGACACTGTGTTTTTCCAACGCGCAAGACATGCGATCGGCGCGTTCAGAAACAATTCCACAAAAGGAAGAATTCCGCACAGCCTTTAAGGCCTTCACTTCTTCTGGCAAGGGGAAGGAAGCACAAACTCCCTCTCTTCGGCTGTTTGACCCAAGCCGCCCGGAGGCGGAAGGGCACCCGCTGCGGATGATGTAGCGGTCTCGGAGGTAGGCCCTTCCTCCGCTGTCACGGTTGCTGGCTCTGGAACTGCAGGCAAAGACTCTACAGCCACTGGCGCTTCTGGAACCGTGAAAGGCGAGGAAGTTGGAACCACAGACCAGGCCTTCGGTGTAGCCCCCGCTGGTGCCCCCTGGGCTTTCGAGACATAACCGGGACCTGGAATTTCCCCTGGAGGAGGGGTCTCCGGCACACTCTCCGTTGCGGAAATTGGAGCTCCAACCGGTGCCGTGGGTCCTGGAGTTTCTGGGGCCCGCTCCTCTTCCACCACCATAGGCTCCACACTGTGGTCCGAGGGACCAGAAGAAGCAACAGGTGGGACATCCAAGAACTTGAATGACTCCAAAGGGGCCAATGAAACTGCGGAAGGCGAAGGAGGTACCGGTGTTGATGGAGCTGCAGTGTCCCCCAGAGGGGCTCCTAGAGATGCTGGATCGAACTTGTACCCGTCCGTCGCAACCGGCGATGGCTCCATAATGATAGGAGACGGTGGGGGCGGCGCAGAGGAGCCCACATCTTTCAAGGCTTTCTCCGCTTCGATGAGCGCCAAAACTCTGGTCCGGCTCTGCATCATGTATTCCCCCATTGGAATCGATTCGTCCGACGAACTTGCCGAGGATGACTCTGCAGACTCTGTCTCCGAGCCTTCGTTCATGGCTCCAGTCTCCGAGCCTTCGTTCATCGCTCCAATTCCACCTCCAGTATCTGTGGAAGCAGCTGCAGCCGTCCTTCTGGCCTTGACCTTGGGTCGAGCGGACTGCAAGTCCTCCCATTTTCGGACCTCTGCTTCGAACTCGATATAGCGCCGGGTGCGCTGATCCATTGCCCCCATTAACGCACGCCACCCATGCCTGATGGCTGAGCCTGGCACCCACTCGAGCTGGAGCTCGACGTCGTCTGGGTACATTCCAGCCAAAAGGTTGCGTTCCGCTTCCGGCATGGCGACGGGGCAAGGCACACGGAGTGAGTAACGGCCAAAGTCTGTTCCTCAGAGCTTTGCTTCAGCACTTCCAGATGACTCTCAGGTCAACTCCCGAGAGCTAAAAGCCTCTCTGTGCTTCCCAAAACTCATCCTCGGACTTGCAAACCAAAACATGTCAAGTCAAAGCACCTTCATGTCATGCAAACATGCTCATGCCAAAACAAAACATGTTCTTGCCATGTCACAGCACTCATGTCCTACACATGTACCTGCAAGCAACTAGGCAAACAAAGAAATGTCATATTTTCACAGTTCTTGCTAACCGCACAATTTTAAAAAATTCCGTGGGCAATCTACAGTGAAGCGCGCTTTTGACGTTGATGACGCAGCACAGTAGTACCCTAAAGCAGTCAGCCCGCAGCTGGAATTAAGGCTCCAACCTGGGTGGTCTTGTATGTTCACACAGGAAATTCCCGTTTTCGGCTGCTTTTTTCACGGAAAGCCAGATCTGGCTTTACAGCTTCAAGTAAAACAAAATCCGCCTCAGTCGGTTCCAGTCTAAGTCTTGCGTCGAGACGAGTTTAACCGTGGTGTTAATTCTGGCACAGACGGTCTGGTCTCTTCGTTGGTAAAACTAAACCCAAACCTTAAACTCCAAAACCCAGCAAGTTTTCATGTGCATTCTGTGGTTGCTGCTTGGTTGGAAGGTTTCTTGGAGCAGTGGATCTCGTCTGTGAAAAACCTGCCGTCAGTTGGAAGCTGAAACTCTTTAACACAGTCAATTTCTGTACATAAACAGTTGCCAACATGCCCTTTTGAACTTGCAATCTCTCTGCCCACTTGCAGCCGATTTTGGAAGGCCAGAGACTTTCAGAAAATCTTGAAATGGCAAGCTACTTAGAAGTGCATGTTTGGCGCACCTTGGGTTTTCAGCAATTGCTTCATGGCTGGCCCAGACCACTTGAGCAACATGACGTTGCAGAACTACTTCTGCATATGAAGGACAGTAACCTGCTGGCTGCCGTTACTGGCAGCTGGCAAGTCAGTCAACCTTAGAAGTGGCTGCCTCTGCAGCCTCTGCATCACCCTCTGCTGCAGATGTCCGCCGTTGCACCTTGTAGACGCTTGTAGATGCCTGGGCTTCTCAGGCCCATCCGCGTGCGCTGTGTGAGCTGCCATAAGTCTTAATGCTACAGATCAATCGTTCTGGGACCCTGCTTTCCCGTAGCATAAGAAATTCACAACCCGTCAGCGCTGGCTGCACTGTTTCCTTGCCCCACTTTCTGCAATCAGACAGTCAACATATCAGGCTCGAGCGATCTTGTTGCATCAAGGATGCAGGCATATGTTTTCTTCTGCACGCTGATTAAGGCCTCTCTCTCTCCGTAGAGTGTCACTTCAAGTGTGTCACTTCAAGTGTTAGACTTATCAGTTAAGAGAACGTTTTGGGTGTCGAAGGGCTCAGAATCGCACTGTTGAGGTCTGCTGGCCGTCCCCAAATCAAAGGCGATTAACAACCAAACGGTCTGGCCAGTCGGTGCAAGCGTGCTGGGTGTAGTGTTAAAACTGTCCTTTAGTAGCATTCCCTTTCCTCAAAATGCTCCTTACATCCACTTGCCAAGAAATGCACCTAGCGCTGCGGGGCTCCGCGAAGGCGTCTTGCAATAATAGCATATGGGGACACTTATGCCGCCTAATTCTGGAAAGCTCATTTTCGCCAGCACTTCGATGCCAAACTGGTGGTTTCAAGCTGGGGCAGGTTCTCTTGCTTGCTTCCGGCATGTCTTTGTTGTCGCATTTATTCTTACAGGAAGTTCGTGAAGCGATTTTCTAAGCAAACTCGTGCAAATCTTCGAAATTCGCCCGTTCTTTTTAAAAAAGTCAGCAAAAAATCAGCCAAGAATCAGCAAAAAGAGCATGCTTCACGTCATTTTCGCGTTTTCTCCACGTCTTGCTTCGGATTTTGTAATACCGCACCTCAAGTATCCCCACACTCCGAAAATTGGTCCGAAATTGGTCCGAAATTGGTCCGAAATTGGCGCCGCAATTGGCGCCGCAATTGGCGCCGCAATTGGCGCCGCAATTGGCGCCGCAATTGGGCTCTGGCGAAAAATCCGGCGTTTTGGTGCCTGCGGCCTAAAATTTTGGACATTTCTCTAGGAGACTTTGGGCGTCACGGTTCTTGCGGAATCTATGGGGACCCCGGATTTGGGCTCTGGGGCTGAGGCTCTAGTTTCGGGGCTCTGGCGAAAAATCCTCCGTTTTAGGGTCTGCAGGTTGGATTTTGAGGGTTTTCTTTAGGAGACTTTGGACGTCACGGTTCCTGCTGGGGACCTGGATTTGGGCTCTGGGGCTGAGGCTCTAGTTTCGGGGCTCTGGCGAAAAATCCTCCGTTTTGGGGTCTGCAGGTTGGATTTTGAGGGTTTTCTTTAGGAGACTTTGGACGTCACGGTTCCTGCGGAATCTCTGGGGGGACCCCGGATTTGGGCTCTGGGGCTGAGGCTCTAGTTTTGGGGCTCTGGCGAAAAATCCTCCGTTTTGGGGTCTGCAGGTTGGATTTTGAGGGTTTTCTCTAGGAGACTTTGGGCGTCACGGTTCTTGCGGAATCTATGGGGGACCCCGGATTTGGGCTCTGGGGCTGAGGCTCTAGTTTCGGGGCTCTGGCGAAAAATCCTCCGTTTTAGGGTCTGCAGGTTGGATTTTGAGGGTTTTCTTTAGGAGACTTTGGACGTCACGGTTCCTGCGGAATCTATGGGGGACCCTGGATTTGGGCTCTGGGGCTGAGGCTCTAGTTTCGGGGCTCTGGCGAAAAATCCTCCGTTTTGGGGTCTGCAGGTTGGATTTTGAGGGTTTTCTTTAGGAGACTTTGGACGTCACGGTTCCTGCGGAATCTCTGGGGGGACCCCGGATTTGGGCTCTGGGGCTGAGGCTCTAGTTTTGGGGCTCTGGCGAAAAATCCTCCGTTTTGGGGTCTGCAGGTTGGATTTTGAGGGTTTTCTTTAGGAGACTTTGGACGTCACGGTTCCTGCGGAATCTATGGGGGACCCCGGATTTGGGCTCTGGGGCTGAGGCTCTAGTTTTGGGGCTCTGGCGAAAAATCCTCCGTTTTGGGGTCTGCAGGTTGGATTTTGAGAGCTTTCTTTAGGAGACTTTGGACGTCACGGTTCCTGCGGAATCTATGGGGGACCCCGGATTTGGGCTCTGGGGCTGAGGCTCTAGTTTCGGGGCTCTGGCGAAAAATCCTCCGTTTTGGGGTCTGTAGGTTGGATTTTGAGGGTTTTCTTTAGGAGACTTTGGGCGTCACGGTTCCTGCGGAATCTATGGGGGGACCCCGGATTTGGGCTCTGGGGCTGAGGCTCTAGTTTGGGGTTTGGCGAAAAATCCTTCGTTTTGGTGCCCAGCGCCCGGGATTTTGACCCCTCGCTCTAGGAGACCGTGGGCGTCACGGACTTTAAGGAATCTATGAGGGACCCCTAGCTCTGGGTTGCTTCTGCAGAACCCTCCCCCAAAATCCTTCGTTTTGGCGCCCCCCAAAAAAACATTAAAAAACATTCCAAAATCCTAGCGTTTAAGCACGCCGCAGCTTTTGAGGATCAAGTGAATCCAAACGAGTCCAAACGAGTCCAAATTCGAAACAGGTCATCATGACAACACAGGCGCTGATGGCCTTTCTCCAACATCAGACGCTCGACGAGATGGAGCTTCTGGGGGAGCGCTGGCAGCTGGGAGACGCGCGGCAGTTCTACCGCTTCATAGAAGCCTTGATGCAGCCACATCCTGTGCGCGAGCTATCCATCGTTTACCATCGTATCAGAGCGGAGGCGGTGCTCTACTATCGCTTTGAGTGCTGCTCCCGCCGATGCCGCGGGCTGGTGCGGCGACAAACAGACAGCGCAGACGAGAAGGTCGCCCTTCGGTACGGGCTGCTGATTTTTGCGCTCGACCTAACGAAGTCGGCCATTCTCTCGAACCTATCGAAGTGGGAACTGCTGTTGCATCTCCGCCAGGTTCTGCCGCGACAAACCTACATGAGGGCGTTGGAAGACGTAGCAAGGCGCAGCCCTCTCGACGTGGAACGCGTCCAGGTCATCGCTGGCGCCGACGGAGATCCAATGTTCTGGATGCTCAACAACGTACTGTGATAGCTGACCCTTGTCGGGCGGACGCAGAAAAGAAAGGTTCGCGGTCCCTCTGAGCCATTTGCAATGCTTTCTTGCTTAAACCCCTGTTCTGAGCCATTTGCAATGCTTTCTTGCTTAAACCCCTGTTCTGCGTCTCGTACCGTTTGGCTCGGACGTGCTGAGTAGGAAAAGAGGTACCATTCATTTCATTTAAATCTTCACATATCTTCAAATTCGTCCCCCCATGGCTGAGCTTCAGAATGTGCCTCCGCCGGCTGCTGGAAACCATCCGGGAATCAGAGTGACCAGAGCTCGTCGCATCAGGAACTCGAGTCAAGGCTTCACGAGGATGGCTGGAGTTGAGCGCGAGAACGACAACGCCCCTTTCCTGACCATGGACGCTCTTATGCTGCTGCTGGAAGACTTCCGGGACCTGTTGGAGAGGCAGGTCCGCTTCACCATAAAGCTCGTGGTGCAAGCGAGGTTCTCAAAGACAGTGGCGGTGGACGGAGTGGAGCGTCCAGAGGTGCAAGAGATCCGCGTGGCGCTGCCGCCAGCTCCGTGCATGCCGCTGGCCGACCCTGCCGAGAGGTTTCGCAGGTTCTTGAGCCAGGCGCAGTCTACGTACGAGCACTACGTGGAGGAGACCAATCGCAACACCAGCAGCGGGTGGAGCTTTGTTGGCATGCTGTGGATCAACATCCTCACGAGCCCCAGCGAGCTCACGGCCAACGCCCCCTTCCCCGCAGGCATTGCAGGCGTCGGCGGCTGCTGGAAGGAACTGCCTCCGCACCTTCATAAAGGCGATCAAGGCCTTTTCAACCCCAAGAATATGGACCACAGATGCTTCGAGTACTGTGTGAGGGCCTACTTTCACGAGGTCGGGAAGATGGGCAAACATGAACGCTTTACGGCAGCCAATTTGAAGGGTCGTCCCTTCTACGCTCAACCAGCAAAACCTGGTCCGAAGGGGTCCGCGCCTGACGAGCGCAAGATGGTCCCCGTGGATGCCGACTTCAGCACGCTTCCCGAGGGTCACGTGGGCTTTGGCGACATCGACCTTTTCGAAGCCGTCAACCCCCACATTGGCATCTACGTCTTCAAGCCGGTCAGCACGGAGTGGTCGGCAACGGCTCCTCAGACGATGAAGCCGCTCAGGAGTCCCTCCGTTGAGAAGCCAGAGCACGAGATCGTCCTCCTGCTCCACCTCGACCACTACGTCCTGATCTATGACTTCAGCAAGGCTTCCAGTCTGCGCAGCGCCGAGCTGCCCCAAGAGTGCCGTCGTGACAACACCTGCCACTGGAACTCTTGTCACCGCTGCCACAACAATTTCAAATCGACTGAGAGTTTGAAGGCGCACCTGAAGTCGGGGCTCTGCAATGCTAGCGTGGAAGACCGCTTGCGAAGTCAGAGGATCAGGCTCCCCACGAACGTTGAGGAAGAGCGCCTCTTCTACAAGCCCGGTCCCTCTGCAGAGTGGGCGGAGCTGGTCATCTACTCCGACATAGAGGTCTTCAACGACAGGGCGCAGGAGACGCTGGACAACAATAGGGTCAAGGCCTTGCAGCACGAGACGGCCTCCACATGCTACACCGCAGTGGGTCGCTGCGGCTACGAGGTCCCGCAGCAGCACAAGATCCATTTGGACTTATGTCGCGCGGACGACGCGCCCTTCGCCGTCATGGAGCGCTACCTCAGGCGGCTCCTGGATCTGGCCTTCGACTACCTGAACTGGCAGAAACTAAACATTCCGTACGACCTCACAGCGACGCAGCAGGCTGACTTCGACGCCGCCGTCGTCTGCTCCCTCTGCGACCTACCCTTCACCTCGGACCAGAGCAGGCAGAAGGTAGTGCACCATCGGCGCGGGACGGGCGAGTATCTAGGCGCCCTCTGCAACACCTGCAACCTCGCCGTAAGACGCCAGAAAACGGTGCCGGTGTACTTCCACAATGGTGGTGGATACGATTTCCATTTCTTGGTCCGAGCCATAGCCCAGCTTCACCGCTACGGGAGTGCGGCCGCCATACCCTCCTACGACGAAGACGATCAAGTCGTTGAGCAGGAGTTCCAAGAGCCGGCGGAGGACGACGCGACCTTGCAAGACGACCAGGTCCCCGATTTGCACACGCCGGGTTACGAGCCAATGCTGGGTGAGCACCTGGACCTCAAGAAGCCCCACTGCGAGGTCATGATCAAGTCCGGCGAGAAGTACCTGCAGATACGCTACGGACCCCTGGTATTCTTGGACAGCTTCAACATCTTCCCTTCAGCGCTGGACGTTCTGATAGACGACCTGCGGAGCACTCACAAGGAGGAGCCATGGCTGTCCTTTCCGCTTCTTGCCGAGCGCCACCCCTGGCTCCAGAACCGAGACAAGAGGGTGTGGGACCTTCTTCTCAAGAAGATCCCCATGCCGTTTGAAAGCTTTGCGGGGCCCGAGGCTTGGACCGAAGAAGCCGTGCGGTCGCAGAAGTGCTACGACAGCAGCTTGAAGGGCAAGCGCTCCGACGAGAAGTACGGGGAGATTCAGGAGATCCAGGAGCATTTCCAGTTCCCGAACTTCGCCTCCTTCCATAACTGCTACTTGCACACGGACATGGCCATTGCCGACGTGGTGGAGGCGTACAGGGACACCTTCCACCAGAACTTCGGCATCGATCCGGTCCGATATGTCACCTTGGCAAGCGCCGCCTGGGACGCGATGATGAAGCGCTGCGCCCCTCGCAGAAACCCCCTGCAGCTCATCACCAACCGGAAAATCTACGACCTGGTCAAGAGCAGCATGCGCGGAGGACTCAGCAACGCGTTCCAGCCGTACGCCAAGGCCAACAACTGCTCTGTCGTCGACTACGACGACTGCCTTCCAGTGAGCTGGGTGTCAAAGTTCGACGTGAACTCGCAGTACCCGACCGTCATGGACAACCCCCTGCCCTGCGACGGCGGCTACCTTTTGGATCTCCCCTCCGAGCGCAAGGCCCGCATGAAGCTGTTCTGCCACTGCCTGCGCGAGTCGGACTTCAGGCAGAAGGACTTCGATCGCAGCTACTTGGTGGAGGTCGACTACTACCTGCCCCTAGACCAGCACGACCGCGTCGACTGGGCGCCCATCACCAGGATGAGCGTCGGCACGTCCGGGATGAGCGAATATCAGCTCGAGCTCTTGGCCAAGAAAGGGCTGGACAAGGCGCCCAAGAACGAGAAGCTCATGCCCTATCTAGGCTATCACCGTCGCGAAGTCATACAGCTGCGACTGCTGCGCTTCTACATGGAGGTCCTCGGCGTCAGAGTCGAAGAGGTCTACAGCATCGTGCTCTTCGGCTGCAGGGCGTTCATGAGCCCCTTCATCCGAGAGTGCTACGAGCGCAGGCTCGAGTTCAAGCGGCAAGGGCGAAAGCTCCAAGCCGACGTGGTGAAACTCACCATGAACGTGCAATACGGGAAAAGCGTCCAAAACCAGGAGCGCTTTGTTCGGTCGTGGGTCTGCTTCGACGTCGAGGAGTTTGGGCGAAGAAGCGCAGGACCCCGCATGGTGGACCTGCACGCCAGCCCCATTGGTCACGGCGGCTTCTTCGGCATCGTGGATGAGCTCACCCCCGGCGGTTCGCTCCTCAAGACCGTGCCGCAAGTGGGAACCTTCGTGCTGGACGAGGCGAGGCTTGGCATCATGCGAAACTATTACCACATGAAGCTGGTCTTCGACGGGCGCCTGGTCAAAGCCTGTGACGAGGCGAGGCCACAGAGCGAGAGGTCGAAGGTGCAGATCATCTACACCGACACGGACAGCGTCATCGTGTTGATCCACAGCGAGACGCACCCTTCCTACCAGCTGGCCCTGGAGAACTACAACCCCGAGTCGCCGTGCTTCTGGGACATCCTGGGCGACATCAAGGACTACGAGAAGGCGATGGCGTACCTGCAGAGCATTGGCGTCGACCCTGACTCGGCCCAGCTCGCTTTCGAGCGGCGCGGCTGCTTGGGCGGTTTCGGCGACGAGAATGCACCCCTCACCATGATGGAGGTGGTCTGCTTGGGGCCTAAGTCCTACAGCGAGCTGCTCACAGACGGCGGGGGCCAGTTGCACCACAAGAACAAGATCAAAGGCATCGACAAGGAGAACCGGAAGACCCTGACCCACGACGAGTACAGGGAGGTCTTGACCAAGACCGGGCTGGGCAGGAGCATAACGTCCCACCGCTTCGAGAGCAGACGGCACGTGGTGCATCTGGTCGAGAACGTCAAGACCGGCCTGTGCGCCTTCGAAGACAAGAACTACAAGCTCCGCTACGACAGGTCCAGGCCCCACGGTCACTGGCGAAACTTGCCGGAGCCGCTGCCCTACTTCTTCGACAAGCTTCTCTACGGCAAGGAGGGCCAGAACATCATCGACAAGATTATGAGCTTTCTGAGGCCCCGCGGCTACGTGAAGATGGACTTCAAGGACGATCGGTGGATTGCACAGTTGCGAGGACTCAGTTCCCTTGGCTAGCTTGTACAGCGACAGTTTTGCTTTCGCATTTCTCTGGACTGCACTGGAAACCTGCGCTCCCTTTGACCCTCTACCTTCCTGACGTCTCGCGCTAGTAGCGGTCCTCCCTGCCAGCCCTGTAGCGTAAACATGACGCCGTTGCTCGTGTACTCTACCCCGTCCACCCGGTACGCCCTCTCCGACCAAGCTGTTTCGGTGACGCGGTAAGACCCCCTGCTCTCTATTGGCTTCACCCTGACGCGAACATAGTCGCCCTCACCGATTTCCGGCTTCGCTGGAGCATTGTGCTTAGCGTTCCTGCGCATGTTCCTGAGGGCTTTCCTAGCGCTGTCAGGGTTGTTGTACGCTTGATTAGGCGTCACGCCTGTCGTAGCATGCCTTTTCTCATTGTATTGAGCTAAAACGTTGGGCAGTAGCAGGTTCCACTGGTTCCTTCTGCCCACGCCTACGCTAAGTCTGCGAAGCAAGGCCTCTTTCAACGTTCTAATGGCTCTTTCGGCCACTGGCGCATGCCCCCTACTGACTATTTTGTCCACGTCCCAGTGATCTAACTTTTCCTTAAACTGCTTCTTAAACTCTGAGCCGTCGTCGCTGTAAACGGAGGCCGGAATCCCCAGATCGGTGATGACTTTGTCCCATGCTGCCGCTGCGGTTTGTGCGGTTTTGTCCTTCATGGGTATAGCGGTGAGCTTCTTCGTAAACGTATCTATAGCTACCAACATATAGGGATAGGGGCCTTTTGCAAAGCTCGTCATATCCGCCAAGTCTACTTGCAACTGATGCATGGGAGCAGGCGGCACATAGCTATTGAAGCCCCGTTGAGGCCTGTCCTCCTGCACCGTGAGGCCCTGGATGAACTCTCGAACCTCACACGTGGGTCCCTAGCACGAGCTTGTCGCAGCGTGTCAGCAATGCTCCCGAACCCGCTTCTAGGATCCTCATAAACTTGTTTGATGATGTTTTGTCTGTTCTCAGCCATTTTGCTTTTGAATAAAAGCGCTAGCTGCTCCGTTCGACCCGGCTTCAGCCTCCTATTTCGCCATGTCGTTTTGTGTGGGATTTTCCAACATATTTGGCGCGCTTCGTCGGTTTTTCATCAAGTTGTCACATCCTAAACCCCCCCTATCTGACGTTTAAACCCTTTTTCAAAAATCGATTTTCAATTTTGATGTTTGCGCGCCGTTTGCGCGGTTTTGTCTGGGATTTTCCGACATTTTTGGTGCGCATCGTCGGGTTTTATCTCTTTGTTACGTCCTAAACGTTCTATCTCTGCTTAAAAACCTTATTTAAAAACTGTATTTTTGAATTTGATGTTTTTGCTTTGTTTGCTTTGTTTTGTGTGGGATTTTCCAACATTTTTGGTGCGCATCGTCGGGTTTTATCTCTTTGTCACGTCCTAAACGTTCTGTCTCTGCTTAAAAACCTTATTCAAAAACTGTATTTTTGAATTTGATGTTTTTGCTTTGTTTGCTTTGTTTTGTGTGGGATTTTCCAACATTTTTGGTGCGCATCGTCGGGTTTTATCTCTTTGTCACATCCTAAACCCCCTATCTTATGTTTCAAACCCTTTTTCAAAAATCGATTTTCAATTTTGATGTTTTCGCGCTGTTTGCTCATTTTTTGTGTGGGGTTTTCCAACATGTTTTAATGTGACGAGGTCTTACTCGCAGTTGCTCTCTGAGGCCCCCCGCAGCGATGTTGAAGTGAGGCCTAAGGTGCGCAGACACTTGCTTTCGATCAGTCTTGCAACAAGCTTTCAAACGGTTTGCAACAAGCGAAGCCAAACGCAATCAATTTTGCTGTCTCCCGCTCCGTCGCGGACCGCAGCTCTTTGCTTAAGCGTCTGTGCTTTGGCTTAAGCTCTGCATCTTGCCAGCGCTTTGCGCTTTGTCAATCCTACCGTCCCCCAGGCTCGGCAGGAAAAAGCGCGCCGACAACCATGCTCAGAAGAAAAGTGCGCCGACAACCACGACGTTCTGTACAAGTCGAGTCTAGCGCTTGATGCCAAAGATCATAGATGTCATAGACAACGCCCCAGGCTTCTCATTCACCGGCTTCTCATTCACCGGCTTCTCATTCACTGGCTTCTCATTCACCGGAGCCTCCTCCAGTGACTTCTCATTGATGGTCTCGTCTGCCTCCTCCAGTGGCTTCTCATTGATGGTCTCATCTGCCACCTTCGCGGTCTCGTTCTCTTTGGTATGCTTCTTGAGCGACTCAGAGAGCTTCAGCGCGGCAGCAGCTGCTTTAGCGGCCTTCTCCTGGGCAGCTTGTGCTCGAGCGGCCTTCTTCTTGGCAGCTTCCTCGGCTCTCACCATCTTCGCGTGCTTCTTAGCCTCGGCAGCTAATTTCCTCTTCTCTGCGCTGGCTTTCTTCTCATCGGCCTTAGCTTTCTTCTTCTCATCGGCCAGCGCCTTCTTCTCAGCGGCAAGCGCCTTCTTCTCATCGGTCTTTGCCTTCTTCTCGTCGGAGTTGGGGACGCTTCTCATCCCTGGCCTTGGTCTTGTGGGGCTTTGCGATAACCTCACCCAGCTTGTCAATGCGAGCCACGAGCAGATCCCTGGCACTTTCGACCGCCTCTCGCGTCAAGATCGACTGCGCAGTCACGTGTTCAACCACCCTGTCCTCCGAGCCCTTGATGTAAGCACGGACTGTGCGACCCTGTGCTTCTGCCTGCTCAGCATATTTCCTTTTCTTTCTCTCCAATTTGTTCAGGTAGTGCTGCGGCTTCTGCTTTGAGTTGGGAGCTTCATTGAGGGTAGAACTTTCCAACTGAGCAGGTCCCGTGGCCGACTGAGCAGGTCCCTTGGCAGGAGCAGATCCCTTGGCAGGACTCACCGACTGAGCAGGTCTCTTGGCAGGACTCGCCGACTGAGCAGCTCCCTTGGCAGGACTCACCGACTGAGCAGCTCCCTTGGCAGGACTCACCGACTGAGCAGGTCCCTTGGCAGGACTCACCGACTGAGCAGGACTCACCGACTGAGCAGGTCCCTTGGCAGGACTCACCGACTGAGCAGGTCCCTTGGCAGGAGCAGGTCCCTTGGCAGGACTCACCGACTGAGCAGGTTTTGTGGGAGAAACCCGCTCTTCGACGTCCGAAATATCCGGCATGGCTTCGATCCTACGCAAAATGCGTTCTAGGAAGAGCAGCGCGCAGGGGCAAAACAAAATGAGCTTCTGCCAAAACGGCTGTAGCGCCGCAGAACTTCCATCAACCGACAATGTGAGCTTGCACGCATGCCTACCGCTGGCAACAAAAGAAATCCCTTGCACTGCGGTCACTCAGAGCCACTGACGTCGTTCGACGTGGCGTGTGAGGGAAAAGCTGAGACCTGGGCACAACGCGGGGTCCGTTAGCGAAGCACCTCTAAATTCCAGATGTTCAATGGCTCTGTCTACCCGCGGACCCTCCCCAACCAATTTGTTCCAATTTTGTTCCAATTTTGTTCCAATTTTGTTCCAATTTTGTTCCAATTTTGTTCCAATTTTGTTCCAATTTTGTTCCAATTTTGTTCCAATTTTGTTCCAATCTTGTTCCAATCTTGTTCCAATCTTGTTCCAATCTTGTTCCAATTATGTTCCACTTTGTTCCAATTTTGTTCCAATTTTGTTCCAATTTTGTTCCAATTTTGTTCCAATTTTGTTCCAATTTTGTTCAAACTTTGTTCCAACTTTGTTCCAACTTTGTTCCAATATTATTTTGTTCCAATTTTTTCAATTTTGTTCCAATATTATTTTGTTCCATTTTTTGTTCCAATTTTGTGCCCATTTTGTTGGGACTGATGAGCAGAACACGTTCAACTGCTTCCGGACTGCAAGGAAAGCGGGGGGGAGGGGGGGGGGGGGATCCAGACCAACTCAACAATCCCACTACTGAATACAAACTGCTCCAGATGCACGTTTCAGCGAAGTGCTGCTTGCCAACCCCACCCTTTGCACGCACTCAGAGCTCCGGGCTCTCGCGATGAAAACAGAGCCGACGCCAGAGGTAGTTCCAAAGAACCTGGCCGCAGAGGTGAGGGGCCCGGGGCTACCGGGATGGGGAAGGGGTTCACCTACACCTACGCCTACCCGCCTACAGACTCTACACAGCACCCTCGACATGCCAGCACTCACTCGGAGACCCCCAAAAAAGCACAACCCCGAACTCCTGCAAAGGCCCCTGCAAAAGAAAGAGTGCCCGGCTTGCGGCTCGCAGAGGACCCCTGAGCACACAGGAGGAAGGGAGTTAAAGTCTGGGCACTCCTACCCTATCACTCGCTATCAGGTGCAGAACACTTGCAAGCACTCGCGCACCACGACAACAAAGCCAAAACATCTCAAGTTCGTCAACCCTAAACCCTATTCCCTGAATCCGCCTCCGATCGAAGGAAGTCGACGAAGATGACAGCACGAACCTGGCCACAGGAGCGGGAGTGCAGGGCTGGGGTTGGTTACCCTAAATCTATAGGCCTGCTCGTTCGAGCAGTGAGTAAGCCCGCTTGCCCTCGAGCGGTGACCCTCACCAAGTAGAGCCTTTTCCCACCCCAGAGTTCACATGCAATCATGCCCAGGTAGCCTCTATCGGGAGCGCTCCTCGCCCCCACCCAAAATCTAAAAGACTAGGTTGGTTTGCAGCTACTCTACAAGTCTGTGTTGTTCGCCGTCTGCCTATGTGGCCAGTGATGTCAGCCATCTGCCTATGTGTTGCTGCCCAGTTATGTTGTCTTGTTTCTTTGCCTACGGGTGACCTTGTGAACCGCGGCGCGGTTTCTGAAATAACATAAGAAATCATGTCAAAAAGGCAAGGTCAAAAAGTCAAGGCATAAAATCATGCAAAAGTCAAGGCAAAAAATCAAGCAAACCAACTAGTTTCCCTTGCTTAAGTTTTATACTTATTTTATATTTCTATATTTAATATATTTTGCTTTTTATATTTTTTGCTTTTTATATTTTTAAAGATTTTTTCTGCACCCCACAAACGCTTTGAGCCAAAACCTGTACAGGGGATGCTCAAGATGCTCGCGCCCCGCTGATTTCTCAAGATGCTCAAGATGAACTCCTATAAGAAAAGGCGCCAGCAAAGAACAAAGCCCAGCAATTCACCACTGGTTTTCGCTGAGCAGGCCGAGGCCCTGGACAAAAGGAAAATGGCCCAGTGTTGGAGCTCGTAGACGTTTCCCAAAGCACTCCCCCCGACGTGAGGCTCTTGGGCTGCTCGGTCCGTTCCCTGTTGCATCAGGCCGAGAAAGATTATGACGAGCACTCCGAACGTCAACACACGAAGGACCCGGGCGAGGGCCCAGTGGAAAAGCATGAAGAGCAAGCCTTGTGATCTGCTCTGCAGGGTGCCGACGCGAACTTCGCAGCGAGCTATAAGCAAAAAATCACACGACAGCCGTTCTATGAGTTCTATCTTCTGCTTAAAACTCTATTTAAAATCTGCATTTTCAATCTTGATGTTTGGGTTTAGTTTGCTTGTTGTGGTGTGGGGTTTTCCAACATTCTTAGCGAATTTCGTTGGTTTTGATCAATTTGTCGCATTCTATTGGTTTTATATTGTATTTAACACCTTATTGAAAACCTGTATTTCAGATTTGATGCTTGCTTTGGTGTGGCTAACTGCTGGTTTGCTTCGACGCCGTGAACATTCTTGCTTCCTTCCAGAACCCCTGCGAGGCGAATCCTTCCTGTTTTGCTCGCGGCCGCTGGCCTCCGGTCGCCGGAGCTGTCTGTGTGAGACACTGATCAGCGACAGGGGCCATAGTGACGAGTGGTGTCAGACTGCAGTGACAGGCAGTGCGCCCTTGATCGCTGACGCTGCACCTGCTACTCAGCTACTCTTTTAGCGGCGCATTCTGTACCCCTGCGTGCGCAAAAGGCTCAGGACAGCAATGGGTCTAGACTGTTTAAGCAACCAGCTGGACACGCAGGCTAACCTAGTACTGGTGTGGCCTGAAAATAGAGATCGTTTACTATCTGCTGCCCGTTCGAAGCACCGGCAGCACGGATTCTCCAACTCCATTCACGAATCAGCCAGCAAAAAACATGCTAACAAGTAAGACTCAAAGTTGAAGAACGGCAGGGCTGGACAACAAAACCAGTACTCACACAACACTTCCGTCACTTGTTTTCGGCATTAGCTGCGCTAGAGAGCGAAGTGGTTCACCCAAAACACAACGTGAGACAGAAAACGGCGCAAGAGCCCCGGAAACTGCCAGCCAGGGGAGCACAAAAGAAGCCACCCGGCCCCCCAGCTGGACAACCCCGCGGCCCAAGCGACCAATAACGTCCCGCCGATGCTCCGTCCTGGCTGGCCCTCCCACATGGAGCCCGTGCTCAAACTTTTAAACAGCCAAGCCAGAGTGCAGCTTCCCCACGGGTGGCGAATGGGGGTGGACGGCGGGTCAAACCAAATGCTGAATGCCGGGAAGTGTGCATCGTACTATAGAACAGGGGACTGCTGACTAGTACTCACACAACACTTCCGTCACTTGTTTTCGGCATTAGCTGCGCTAGAGAGCGAAGTGGTTCACCCAAAACACAACGTGAGACAGAAAACGGCGCAAGAGCCCCGGAAACTGCCAGCCAGGGGAGCACAAAAGAAGCCACCCGGCCCCCCAGCTGGACAACCCCGCGGCCCAAGCGACCAATAACGTCCCGCCGATGCTCCGTCCTGGCTGGCCCTCCCACATGGAGCCCGTGCTCAAACTTTTAAACAGCCAAGCTGCACTCCACCTCACCCACTTGGCACATAGTGCGGCTTCCCGTAGCCCTCAAGCAGGAAGGTGAGAACGGAATACAACAAAGAAGGGAGGATGTGGGCGGGTCTAAGTGCCATGTGCACTCTTCGTACCCACGCACGGAAAGGAATGCCTACCACCTACTGCAGCTGCCCGAGCGTTGCCGCTACTGGCACTTGCATCCCCAATCGAGACGAGAGCCAACTGCCTACCATCACCTGCCAGAGCGTTGCCGCTACTGGCACTTGCATCCTCAGCGGCCCTCGTGCCCCTACAATTTCTTCTCAATCTGAACTGATTGCATCATACCCAGGCCGCGCTTTGCGGGCAAGAGCTTGCAACTTGCGAAGTTGCGGCGCTGGCAACTGCAACTGCGAGAGTTGGGCCATCCCATCACAAAGATAGATTCGTGCAGTGCGAACTGCAGTCCAACGTCCTTTCAAGCACACCGCGGGCAAATTATTCGTAACACGATACTCATGAGTGGCTCCCCCTCGGCGAAGAGAGTACCAACGATATGGCGCTTGCAGACCCAGCCGTTGTAAAAGTTGGGCAAGACGACGGCGTTGCACCCCGGGAGAACAGTCTGAAAGAAGGTCCCCCTTGCTCCTGTTCCGAATGAAGTTGGCAACAGCAGTGCCCACAAACGTGTCTGAGATGACTAGGGATTCGGAAGCGCCAGCTCGCTGCCCGGATTTGGTCAACGGAAGCGACCATGTTCCACGGCCGCGACCCAGCACAAAGTCCCCACACCGTGCTGAAAAGAGCTCACCCGACCGAGCAAACGTGTGAAAACCAAGAAGTAGCAAGGTGGCAGTGTCCCGCCAACCTTGTTCATACGCAGCCTGGGCCAGGGCGTAAACCAGGACTGGTGTGAAAGGAGGAGCTCGCGCAGGTAGTTCAGCTCTACCCCACGCCGCATGCAATCGCCAACTGCCCACCAAGTGTGGTTTAACAGGAGGGATAAAGTGGCCAAGACCACTCAGAGCGTCCCCTGCCCAAGATCGTGGGTCCTCATCTTCCCAAAGATGCTCGATGAAACCGCTCAGCTCAAAGTCTAAAGCAAGAAAAGTGGTAGGGTAAGACTTTCCCTGCTGCTTCAGAAAACTCAGAAAACGTGAAACATGCTCAAGGTAACGAGATTCAGTTTTAGGTGACACAATCTGCGACCTCAAAGTTCCTAGCACCTTGCGTTCATCTTTTCTCTCCTGCTTGGTCCTCTTGCTCAGCACAGTTTTCTTAGGCATCCTGCGATGCCCTTCTTGCTACCCAACGTGACGGTCCGTCTCCGGGGTTGTACTCGGACCGCACGTAGACAACGAGGAGCCTGTTGTTGGAGGCCAGCAGGAGCGAGTTGAGACGCCGCAAGGTGCTCTGAAGCATGTGGGCTGAGGTCCGCCCTTTCGTGATGATCCCAACCACAGCCTGGTTGTCGACCATCAGCAGGAACTTTTCGTTACCTGAACCTGCAGCACGGCTCAGGCGCTTGAGGAGGTCAAGGACAGCAACGGCCTCCAACTGTGTGATATGCCCCGTCCGTTTCCAACGGTAGCTCATCAGGACTTTCCACGTCCACAGTGTGGGGTCGACCGCGCGCCTCCCAAAGTCCGAGGCCTGGAAGGGGATGCCAAAGTCAAGGCGGACATCCGTGCCCCGATGTGAAACATTGCGGCCCACCATCCGGGCCAAGAACTGCTCATCAGTGAGCTTGAGGTCCGGGTCGATCATGAGCCGAGGAACAGAGCCAGTGTCCACCCCCCCCGGACGGAAGGGAAGGACGGCAGCCCCCTCCCCCGAACTCGGACCGAACCTTTCACTCCAAGACCCTCTCTTGACCTGCTGGGCGCGATCTTCCAGGGCTTTCCAGGCATTCCACAGCTCCTTGGTGAGGTCACGCACACCGGCTTGCTCCTCGGTCATGACCAGCCCCAGCAGCAGGCGAGCCGCCACGACTACCGGCCACGTGTTGCCGATGAACTGTTGTTTCTGGTCCTCACTGACCTTCTGCTTGAAGTCCAGGTGGTCGCTGTTGAAGCCGAGGAGGCGGAGCTGCTCATCTGAGGTGAGCCGACGTTGCCCGTGAGGGCTTGTGACCAAGTTCTTGGGAGCGTACTGGTAGGGCGCCAGGCGCCAGGAGTCCCCCTTCCAACGCCCCAGTGTTTTGGCATCACAGTTGTCGATGCCTGCCGGCTCAGAGGGAGCTTGCTTCTTTGGCACAGGCCGGGCAAAGGTCAGGAAGGGCTCCTCCGGCTCTTCGGTCTTGTAACACCCGGGTCGTAGGAACCAATCCATTGGGGGCCTTTCGGTGTCGATCACAGCGTGGCGGAGGTTAAGAGCACGGACGTCTCGGTGCTGGTTAGCCACCCTGCTGCTCTCAACAATCTTGAGGTCACCACCTTGCAAGACATCCACTCCTTGGATCCACCACAACCGCGGCCTTCGGCATCGCAGGGCCTGCACACTGTCGCAGAAGATGGGTCGCCACCCGATCTTAGCAGACTGGATGTCGAGGTCATTGCCATCCATGACCACATTCTCGAAGAGGCGGATCACGTGCCAGGGGGGCAAGTGCAGCGGCTGGCTGCACCTTTCAAGAAGATCTTGCGTGCGGATGAGGTCGTCCAGCAAGAGAGAAGTTTCGGCTTCCGCACCTTCTCGGTTTGCATTGAGGCGCGAATGGTGCACACAAGGCCATCCACCTCCAAGGATCACTTTCTTGGCACGAGGAAACTGCCGTCGCCAATCGCGGACCATTGCGGCATCCACCTTCTTGATGTCGTCCACAACCTGGACATATCCGCAATGCCGTCTGGCAAGCTTCTGGCACAGCGGGTCTGACTCGATCAGGATCAGGCCTTGAGGTTGAAGCCCAATCAGTTCGAGAGCCTTCCGCAAGCCGCCGATTCCACCAAAGGCCTCGATCACCAAGACTGCATCACAGCCCCCTCCCATGTCGTCATCAGAGCCCAGCAGGTGGCACTTGGCACGCCCACGCGCAGACAGCCCAACACTGGCACAAGCACCCCCCCCTTCAAGAGAGGCATCCGTGGCATAAACAGTGGGGCAGATCTGCATCCGCTGTTCCATGTAGTGCATCGGGAGGCTCATGAGGATGCAATACAACTCTGTCTCCGCCTTTGCTGTGATGCTGATCTTCTTGTCCTCGTGTGACAAGCAGGCGTAGAGCTCATCAAACATACAGGCAAGAGGGCGGCAGAACTGAACTGAATGCATTGCTTTGCCCACGATGGTCAAGAGCTCATGCGATCCACGTGGCACCGCCGGGGAGCACTCAAGGACCCGGACAGTGGCGCCCAGCACAGCCCGGCGCAGCTTCCGCGAGGAGCCAACGAGGCCCAGGTCTCCCAGTTGCTCTGCACCAAGTGAGGACCACTTCAGCGTCCCCTCCGCGGCTTTCTTCTCATCACGGCCAACGCCCCAACACTGGAAGACTTCGCGGAGGGCAAGCTGGGTGTCTGAAGGCTTCCCTTCGTAGAGGCCTTGCTCCGTAGCGGCCATCACCTTGAAGCTGTCGAAGTTGTCGACGTAGAAGCTGTAGTAGTCACGGGTCCCCGTGACTGGCATGAGCGGCGTCGGGTCGCCCATCCGTACTACTCTTTCAGCAGGAACTCCCGCGAGGGTGCCGGCATTCTCCAGGGCAGACTGCACGAAATCGACGATGTTGCACCATCCCATCGGGGCCGTGCGGACCCGCGGGCGTCCGCGGGCACCGATGCCATCTTGAAAGCAGCGGCCTTGGACAGAGCGGCCGATCACAAAGTAGCCTCGCCACCGTGGTGAGGGTGCAAAGATGTGAAAGCAATGCCGGATATCCTCCGCATATGCCAGGATGATCTCATCCTCATTGAGTGCCATCTGCCCCCAAAGGGGAGCGTAGCCCATCTGCGTCGAAGGCTGGATTGGCGGTCTGGACTGCAGCCGGTTTGTTGGAATGAGGTTGATGATCAGCCGCAAGCTTCGAGTCCAGGTTCCATCTGGCTCTTGGACCCACGCCTTGTGCACCCCAAACATGCCGTTCGTGATCTTCTTGCCGCGGACCTCGACCGTCTCCTCAGGGATCTCCCGCTCCATCATGCCGGCAACAACCAGGTTGGAGACTATCTCCTCGTAGTCCTCTTGGCTTTCCACAAGAACCGCCGCGGACTCAGGAACGTCTCCCAGCTCAATGTCCGGGATTCTCAACAAGTCCGGGTCCTCCACAAAGGCGCGAAGCTCAGGCGACACCTTGTCCGCCAAATTAATACGTCCAGCTTCTCCTGGTCCTGGGACATGGGGTTGGATTGCTCGCCATGTCAGCTTGTAAGCCCTTTGGACTTCGCGACCGGTGTAGGTGTCGCCAAGCGACTGCCTCACAGATTCCCAGGACCCAAGTTCAACTACAGCAGGACCACCCTCGTCATCATGGACAAAGAGTCTGGCGTACTTGCGGAAACGCTGAGCTGTGGCCTCCTGAAGGGCTGTCCATGATGCTGGGTGCGGCAAAACCTCGCCAAGCAGCTGCTTGCTGCCACACCACATGAAATCCACGAGCGCGACCTGAAGGTAAAGCCAGACATCCTCGCCGACTGCTTCGGCCTCGGCAGTAACTTCTGCCCAAAGATCCGAATCCATGCAGCCACTGTGCCAGGCTGACAGCATTCGCTCGACCAATTTTGCCTCAGCTTTGCTGGCCTCCGGCAACGCCATCGGGAGGAGCTCGCAGGGCGAAGGCTTGAAGTGCTCTCTAGCGCACACGGGCAATGTCCTCAAGAAGATGCCCAAGGAGCCCGGCCCAAAGGTGACCGCCACCTTCAGCACCAGACCCACCAAAGAAGCCGGAGCCGCTGTCCTCCCCGAAAGCCAGAAGACCAGCCAGCTTTTCAAAGAAGCCGAAGTCCAGCAGTTGGGCGCAGGCTGCACCTGGTACTTGTCGATAATCAGCCTGGCAGCGTCCACTTCGTCATCAAAGACGTAGAGGGGCCGGCCATTGAGCATCGAGAGAACCAAAGGTCGGGGCAGCATGTCGGCATAGCCCGCGCGCAACCAAGTTAATGGCTGGCACTTTCGTCGTGTTGGGAATGTCAAAGACCTCCCGGAAGTGGCTGGACAGTTCTGGGCCTTCGTCCACCAGCAGGTCAGAGAACATGCTTCGAAGCAGCTCCGCCACAATATTGGGGGGAGCCCACATGTTTTCCACGAGGGTGTCCATAACCGTGAAGGAGACGTGCTCGCGGGTGTCATCGTTCCCCAGGGCGGACAGCACTGTCGAGACGATAGTGGCCAAGTTGTGGTCCTTGAGGAGGCCTTTCACCTGGCAGGCAATGGAAGGCGTGTCCTGGAAGCTAGGCTCGGAAAGGATCTCCAAAAGCTTGGGGGCCCAGATACCCAAGGGACCCTCCCCGAAAGGTGAGTCCCCCGGTGCCCCAGAACCCCCAAAACTTGGAGTCACTTCCAGCGCGGCTTCCCCTTCTTGCCTTTGCCCTTGCCGCCCTTGCCTCCCTTCGGTCTCGTTGGCTTGTTCTCTGGCGCCTTGTCGCCGGCCTCGCCCTCCTTCTCGGCTACGGGTACGTTGTCTGGAGCCCTGTACCACCAGTCCTGCCCCCACCTGGGCTGGCGCCGCGGCCCTCTTTGCAGAGACCACTCTGATCTCACCTCTTGTTGGGCGGCTTTCAGCTCTTGCCTGAACATGGCCGACGACTCCGACACCTGAACGAGTTCCAATTGCTCTGCCTGGGTCCAGTTGCCTTGCGACACGCTCAGCTCTATTGCTTTGAGCCGCTGCACTAAGATGTCCAGGGCGCGCAGGGGATCGTTCTTCGCGATGAGGTCGATCACGGTCGCCAGTGTTACCAGTTCCTTGTGGTTCCTGGCCCCGATCTGTCCCGGCGGGTTCGCCTGCAAGTAGATCTGTCGAAGGTACCCTCGAGCGACGGGTGGCATCTTGGCGCTCATATCTGCCGTTTCCCCTCCGTTCGCCATGGCGAGGAGCTCCTGACACCGCCGCAGCGTCAGAGCTGCTAGCTGCCCCGGATGCCGCTGGTGCAGCCTCCTGAGTTTCTCCACGCCTTTCGGAAGGGCGGCCAAGTGAAAAGACGACGCCGAAGAGGAAGAGGAACACGAGCCACTGCTTTCGTCCCTGCGCTTCTTGTCCTTCCTACTCTTCTTTTTCTTCTTTTCCTTCACGCCGGCCAGCTCGAGGGCAGATCTCTTGGCACCTGCCGCCTCACGCCCACGGATCTCCTCCAGGAGGTCACTTCCACTGCTCTTCGCGGGCTTCCCCAGTTCATCCAGGTTCTCTGCGTCTGGCTTTGGCTCTGCCACGTCCAGGCCTGTACCCAAGGCTGCTGCCAGGCCACCAATTCCCTCCATACCAGTTTGCACGGGGGCCCCGCCAACACCACCTCCGCCGGCCACCCCCACGTTGCGTAAGGGGTCCAGCGAACTGTTCCCCTCACGCGCCGCAGGTTCGGCCAAGCTCGGGTGTGCTGCTATGGTGGCCTTGTCATTGTCGGTCAGCCAGTTGATCCTGTTGAGGGACTCCTTTGGGATGATCCGGAAGACGTCCACATGGATGGGGTTCCGGTACACAGTCTCCACATCACAGTCGTTCACCGGGTGGATGCAGAAGTGAAAGGGGATGGTGCGGTCTACCACGTAGGCACCATAGGTGCTCTCCACCCACCAAGCGTAGTAACCGTCCTGCACCGCAATCACGTTCCCAAGGAATCCAGCCCCTTCTTCAGCCCCAATTCTGTCTCCAGGCTCAGCCAGATAGATCACAAGCTGACCTTGCCGGTGGCCTCGGTTGTCGTAGGCGGCCGCCTCGATCCACACATCTTCCTCGACCCCAGTCAGGTGACTGGGGCTGGCAGTGCGGCCAGTCTTTCGCCACCGTGGCAGGCCAGGCGTTCCCGCCATGGCTCCTGACCACTGCCCCACAAACTTCAAGGACTTATGTCCACTTCCCGCACGAAGTGCAGGAGGTGACAGCCCCGAAGAAAGTTCGGCCCCTAAGTTCACCTCAACTAAGGGGCCACCTTCAAACCAAATGCTGAATGCCGGGAAGTGTGCATCGTACTATAGAACAGGGGACTGCTGACTACTGTCATGCTTGAAGCGTTCCAAATCATGCTGGTGAGAACTGGCTGAGCAAAGCAATGCAAACGCTCCTTCCCCCAAACTTCTTCAAATGGATTAATTGCGTCTGTGCACTTAAGCACAACTAGGAGCGCCTCTGTGAAACTGCTTTTGACCATTGCTGGAATCTGTCGCTGGTCCTGTACCCGTTACATGCCCCGCTTGACTTGAAAACTTGAACGCCGTAGCCTGCTCAAGAAATGTGAGCGTTGAACTGCGGTCTGCTAATCCTGGAAGTCGCCGCAGCGCAAAAAACGTCAGTGATGCTGTTGCTACCTCAGCCGAGAAGCTCACACAGCAAGGACAGATGCAAGTTCGCAGCGCTCAAACTCCGGCGCTGCTGAGGCACACGCACACAATCTAAGCATCGTCCGCTGGTGGCAGCACGAACCCGTAGCAATCTGCCCTGCGAGCGGGGCGACGGCAAAAAACCCTAAGCTGAAAAGTCATCGAAACCAAGTGCTGGGCTTGGATGTGCCGCGATTTACTTCTGTGTCTTCATGTTCAGGCTCCCAGTTACCATCCTGCAAAGTCACGCTGAGACACCGCACGGGGAGGCCTAGGTGGGAGAGTTTGACATGAAAAGCTCTCCTTCTGGCTGTGAATGACAATTTCATCTGCATCGCACGTCACTCGATTTGGCTTCTTCTTCTTGATAGCCTTAAGCAATGCTCAACAAAGGGCTCAGTGGAAAATGAAAGCTCAGTTCCTCTTCCGGATTGCCTCATTTCATGGGTTGCAAGAGGTGCGAACATGGACACTCAGCTCAGGATGAGCGAAGTTCGGCTTGAGGTCAGTACTTCCTTCAGGTCATCCACCTGCCCACCAAAACAGAGGAGAACGGCTCATTCAAACACTGAAAAGAACTGAGGCAATCGAGTGGAGCAGCTAAGGTCACTGCGTCAGCCAATGCTCCTTTCACTTTGAAGGCGGCATTGCCCGTCGGCTCAATCTCCTTGCCAATTTGTGGGTCGGCAACTTTTCAACAGAGATGCGAACAAAATCAACCGCCCGTCTCTTGGAGAATGCACAGCTTTCATGGACATGATATGAATGCACAACCTAAGCCTTTGTGTGAGCTGTTTTTCCTGCAAGTCGAGCGGCGCTACAGACATGAACCGACAGCAAACTTGCAGAAACACTCCCAGCAAGGAGCCGACGAAACGCCCTCAGCCCCGAACTGCCTCCCGGAGCCCCCCCCCCCCCCCCCCCCTGCCCGTGATCGGACATGTACCCCCACAATAGACATCCGGCGCACCCAGCGCGGCCAAGAACTCAACGATAGCGAAGCTAACGCTGCGTGCAGTTGACAGCATGCCATAAGCGTCTGGGCCTTGAGCTGCAATTCTCTCACCCAGACCGTCTTTTCTTGAATTTGATCAGCACCTGCCAATTGCTTGTCGGCTCAATAAGAAACACCATCGGCATTCAATGAGGAAGAGATAGCAGCAGAAATGTAAACTCGTGCTATTTGAAAAGAGTAGTGTTGTTTGTTAATCAGTTACACACAAAGTTTGTGCTATTCAAACTCTGGGAACTATCGTCCTAGAAATGGAATGAAATGATTAGGCTTTTTGCAAAGGCTCCTTGAGTTTAGACAACTCAAATACTGTAATGCTCTGTACCCAGCATGAACAGCAAGAACCAATACATAGATTCGCAAAAATGTTCGCAGAAGACAAGTAGGACAAGAACATGACAATCAAAACAACAACAAAGAAAACTGCAAGAGTTGGAGTCTTCCCGCTTTTGCCAAGGCACGCAGTACCACTGGCGCTTCGTTAAAGTCCAAGTAGTTGCTCATTGCTATTGGCTTCCATCCCCCATAAACATCTGGCATCGAGCAGCTTGAAAGAAACTTGTCCACATCGACTGCTTCAGGTGGGATGTTCCGAGCTTCCAGCAAATAGCCCAAGTATTCACGCGCCTGTTCCTTTGCCCACCTGTATTTTTCCGGCCCTTCTTGTTCTGCGGATACTCGCGATCTCTCACCATTCAGCTTGCCAATCTTCATTGCTAAGGCTTCTGACTGAGTTACGACAATCAAGTGATGACCAGACTCGTAGGCTGCTTTCAGCAAAGACCTCCACTCAGTCTTCGACTTATGGAAGTCTTCATCGTCTTCGACGCCGTTGTCAAAAATCATGTTCATGCTTACACCAGCTTCCATTAGGGCGGGAAAAACCATGCGGGCAACGCCAACAACCAAGTCGAAGCTGGCGACCCTGAAGAATCTCATCATTTCTGCGCGAAAGCCACCATCAAGCAGCACTGTGTAGTTCTTGGACACTCTGCCAGCTGGCAGTGCCCTCAATGATGCGATGGACTTGCCCACCCCGGGCTCAGCATGCACAGCCGTGCACCCTGATCGATTGACAGCCAGAACTTTTGTCATCAGCTTCTGGAATGGGGTACCATCTACTACCCTCGTACCAATAGTGGCTTGCCGCATCTGACTAATCCCCAAAACTGAAATTGTGTTGTTGTTGTCTACTTCATGCGCAATCTTTTCGCGTAGATTTTCCACATGCTTCAAGACTTCAGCTTCGTTGCTTTTGCCGACCTCGAGCATCAACTTTGCTCCGGGCATCACTGACGACCACTTTTGAAGCAAATCACCAAACTCCAGCAGTTTGTTTGCATTTTCCACCGCTGTAAAGCCATTGGTGATGGCTGCTGCTAAGATCTCTACTCCAGGACCGGCGTAGCGCACATGGCTACAACCTGCTGGGCGCGTCGTGTATCGAGCACCAGGTTGAACAAAACAACGAATATTGAAAAAATGCGAGGTCGCAGTGAGAGTCAAAACCCAGGCAACCATTGCTCGGCTTCTCGGACGGCGGGACATGGTTCAGGCAGATTTCAAAGAACTGAGTTGGATGGTACAAATTTGGTTCAAACAAATCAAACAATGTCTAAGCGACAAAAGAGGCGCTTTCACTTGAGCCAAATGAGTTCAAATCATTCGGTTTGATTGAGCTTGATTGCCAACATGAATGCATGGCAAGCACTGTAACGCACATGTCAGACTGTACAACATATCACAAGACATGAAAATAGCACTGGGGACTGAGTATTTTCAACTCCCCCTTCTGACTTTGCTGTTACAGTAAACTGTACGTTGGATAGAACGTCAGAAGCTCGGAGAGAACGCGTGCGTTGCACAGCAAACCCAAACAAGCAGTAGTGACATTCCGATCCTATGAGCGTTTCAGCTCAAAAACAACCGGATGTTTGCTGATTTTCAACATTTTTCAACTCAAACCTCAAAATGACTCAAAGTTGAAGAACGGGAAGAACGGCAGGGCCGGACAAGACATTCGCACTAAAAATGTCCTTGCTTCTTTGAAGCGTTCCAAAAATCATGCTTTGGCAAGTACTGGCTGAGCAAAGCAATTTTCAAGCGCTCTTTCCCCCAGACTCAAATGGATTGCGTCTGCGCACTTAAGCACAACGAGGAGAGCGCAATTGCGAAACTGCTTTTGACCATTGCTGGAATCTGTCGCTGGTCCTGTACCCGTTACATGCCCCGCTTGACTTGAAAACTTGAACGCCGTAGCCTGCTCAAGGAATGTGAGCGTTGAACTGCTGACTGCAATGCCGCAGCGCAACAAAAAGTCGGTGAATGCTGCTGTTGCCCCAGCCGAGAAGCTCACAAAACAAGGAAGGGTGCACGTTCACAGCGCTCAGACTCTGGTGCTGCTGAGGCGCAACTTATGCTTCGTCCGCTGATGGCAGCGCGAGCCCGTAGCAACTTGACCTGCGAGCGGTGCGACGGCAAAACCCCGAAGCTCAAAACGCATCGAAAGGTCAATTTCATCTGCATCGCACGTCACTCGATTTGGCTTCTTCTTCTTGATAGCCTTAAGCAATGCTCAACAAAGGGCTCAGTGGAAAATGAAAGCTCAGTTCCTCTTCCGGATTGCCTCATTTCATGGGTTGCAAGAGGTGCGAACATGTACACTCAGCTCAGGATGAGCGAAGTTCGGCTTGAGGTCAGTACTTCCTTCAGGTCATCCACCTGCCCACCAAAACAGAGGAGAACGGCTCATTCAAACACTGAAAAGAACTGAGGCAATCGAGTGGAGCAGCTAAGGTCACTGCGTCAGCCAATGCTTCTTTCACTCTGAAGGCATTGCCCGTCGGCTCAATCTCCTTGCCAATTTGTGGGTCGGCAACTTTTCAACTGAGATGCGAACAAAATCAACCGCCCGTCTCTTGGAGAATGCACAGCTTTCATGGACATGATATGAATGCACAACCGGTATCCTCCGTAAGCCTTTGTGTGAGCTGTTTTTCCTGCAAGTCGACGGTCAACGCTGCAAACATGAATCAAGGACCAGCCAGAAACACTCCGAATCGCCTCCCGGAGCCCCCCCCTGACCGCGAACGGACGTGTGTCCCCATCTCCGCCCCCGACGATGGTGCGCCGTGCCAGCGTCCAAACAGCCATGCCCAACCCAGGATTCAGCTACTGAATGCTACTCATGCAGTCAACGATTTCTTGCGCTCCAACTACCGACATTTGATCTCACACAGCAGAGTCCTTGCGGATCAGCTCCCGCACCTAGACGACGGATAACCTCAACGAGCCTTGCAGAACACTCGCAGAACGCCAATGGTTGGTATCTCTCCCCCTGGGCAACATAGACGCTTCCACGAGCATTGGGCATGACAAGGCATGACAAGACATGAAGTGGCAACTGATTGGTATGCAACATGCTTGCGAAGGAAAAGCTCTGTCGGAACATGTCGACATGGCAAGCCTGCGCAAGGCCGTCTCTTGCAAGCTCATCAGCCGATCTGGCCCCACACGTTAAAGTACAACCCGTTATCTGGCGCTGTTTCGATCAGGATCTCCTGCGCTCGCTCAGCTTGGTCCAGCCCGGGGCGCGCCGAGAACGAACAAGTTCGGACACTTCGCCGTGGCATTTGCGCCAAGCCCAGGCGATCCACACCATGAGCGTGTCAGCTGAAAAACATGCTACCCGCCCTCCGAAGTCCCATGCGAACATTTTGTCACCAAGTATGGCAATCGAACCACAAGCCCGCGCGGGCCATAATTGCTATATCAGCAGTCCAATGACATAGCCCAGTACCTCAAACTGTCGCCTCAGAAACCATACAGCCTTGTTACCCCAACCAGCGTGATTCATCAGTCAACGATAGCTTTGTCAATAATTAGATCTGGGGACTCCACCAGCACAGGGAGCACCAGCACAGGGACCTTGAGATAGAGACAGCGAAACTAAAGCAGCATTTAGTTCCATCGGAGCCATAATCTCACGGTCCATGAGAAGAAACCTGGGCGAAGGTCCAGTGCAGTTGGTCCTCTATGACATTCTCTGTGTTGAAGTGGCAGGATTTCGTTGAAGTCCAAATAGATATCGCCTGTCGCCAGGGAGCTTCGTGGAGGGTGTGGGGTATGGTGGGGCGTGCGAAGGCACCAAGTCCACTCGGCACATGTTTTGGTGTTTTGCTTCATCGCTAAACATCGTGCTGTGCACAGCCTTATCCATCCTAAGTGAAGAGAGTGCGTGGCTTCAAGGTTTCCCTCCAATCATTCTCAGGTTTTCGCGTGTAGTCATGGTGTAGGTCTCCACATGCTTCAGCGTAGAGTTGCTGGTTTGATTCCAGTTGGACAGCATCTTCATAAAGTCCGACCTCGGGTGGCCCAAACATTACTCCAGCCTGCACTGCGTTGGCGCCAATTGAGACCAGACTTGCAGCTCCAAAGCTGGTCGTGTTGCTCGAGGTGCGCGAAACATGTTGTTGCTGCCACAGAACAGTACCAATATGGTGTGCCAATGTGATCACCAGCTGCAGCAGCACCACGACGAGCAGCACCATAATGATCATTTCCAAGTGCATTCTTTGGACCTTGAACTTCGAGCCGTCGCCAACCGCTTGTGTCAATGATGCCTCTGCTCGCTCCAAGTCGACCCTACACTGTGACCTGCTTGTCCGCTACATTCGGGTAGCAGAGCTCATGAGATAGAGCCAAATCCGTCAGTTTCTCCAGCGCCGTGAAATTGGGGGCTGTCCACAAGCTAACCTTCAGCTGCTCAGAGAGTGTTTCCTCCAAATTGAAAAGCTCATTCCGATTCCGCCGAGCATGAGAATCTCATGGCTCGTCAGCTGGGCCCAGCTACCGCCCGCGGCTGATCTCTCAAGCTGCTTCAAAACACGCAAAGATCTCAGCGCATCGCTCATCACTTCAACTGAAAAGCATCGCAGCAAAGCCAGAAGAAGGGCACCTTGACAGCCACGAGGCTGCTTGGGGCGCCGTGGCTTCGCCAAGAAATTCCATGAAATGCGCATGCGACAAAGCATTCACACTTCACTTGTTCGGCAAGGCTTTGCAGACGTTGCAGCGCTCCATTACTACAATAACTTTCATGGGCTAGGAATGGGAATCCAACACCGACAGCCGATAACCCCAAACCCTGAACCAAATTCTACAAGACCCCCCCTGTCTAGTTAGGCGTGTGGCACCTAGGTAGATGTGAGCAGTATTCCTAAGATGGTAACTTGGGTTGGTGGGGGTGGGGGTAACATTTTCTATGAGGTGGGCTTTGCCTATTTTCGGGTGGTGGGATCATTCTGTGGATCAATGCTTGTTGCTGCGGGCCAAGTGGGCTGGTTTTGATGGAAAAGGTTGTGGAACAGTGCTTTTGGGGTGCAGTTCTTAAAGGGCTGGTGAAGAAGGAGGCAAAATCTGTTGAGTTTTTGGAGGGGAAATTTAGGGGCGAGGGCTGTTGGTGTGCTTGTTCAAGAATGGGACGCTGAAGATTTGGGGATCTTGGGGGGCAAGTGGCTGGCTGGTTGAAAATGCGAAACTAGGTCTGAAAAGTTGGAAAGAGTGGTGGAAAATTGTGGGGAATCCCGTGAACCCCTCATGAGTTCGTTGAAAAAGCATGTGAGGTTGTGCATCCCACGACACAGGCCGCCCAGCTACCCGATGAACTCCTTCGTGCAGTGCAAAACAACTGCCTATTGACAGCCAAGCAACTTGAGCAGGAACGTGCTGCTTGGTGTGCAAAGTGGTACAAGAGGTGTCTGGAGTTGCAGGAGGACGAGAAAAAGCTTATGTCTGTGGTGCACCCTGAAGTCCAGTGCATCCTTTCACCAAAGAACTTGCTTGTGTGGAAGGAGATCGGAAGGGTTGCTGACAGCCTCCAGCTTTTGTTGATGGGAACAGGTTTCCCTGAATTCAAGAATTCGTTTGTTCCCCCTCTGAATTCGGCGGACAGAAGCTTCGCAATTTGTTTGCTTCATCGAACAATCGCTGTTGCACCCAAATGAAAAAAACGCCTTCCGCCAATGAACACGGAACAGCTGTCGGCGACTGTTCTCCCAGAGCCGACCGAAGCTAATCTGGTTCATCTGCTTGACAATTGGTCTGCGGGATGGAAACACAAGGGTCGAACTCGAGCCATCGGGCCCGGCGCTGACGAAAAGTACTGCACCTTGGGTCTCTATGCGCACGGAGGCATCGCCGGCATTTCCAAGGCTTCTGATGATGAAGAGGCTTGCTCAGCCGTCAACCATTTCTGAAAAAACAGGTTTCCAAACGGAACTTGGACTTCCATCGCCATCCTCTGCACGGCGTTCATCGCGACATCCTGAACATGAAGGGTCATCCGAACCACGCAATCACTCTGGATATGCACCAGTTCAGGTTTATCTTTTTTTTTTTGGCAAGACGGGGAGTATGCTGCTGGTTTGCATCAAGTTTGCTCAAAACTTGCTGAAGATAGTTTGCGCAATTGCCTCGAAGTATGCGCGAAACTGACTTAAAAACAGCACTAACTCACAGCC